CTTCGTATCACATCCAACCGACAGCGAAATTTGAGGATCAATTTAGCTCCTTTTACCTCTTTATCGCATAGGACCAAATCAGTCAGTCAGTTTCGATAACCGCTTATCCTTTCAGATTGTGGATGTTGCAGCGTCGGAAAGGTCTCTGATCCTATGCCAGCGTGTGAAGTTGAGCAGCGAATAACCTTAATGTGGAGCGAAGCCCGTTGAGACACTTTCCGCGGGTCATTTTTGGCCTTCCCCTGGATCTTCAACCGGTCGGCTGAGCAACTAGTAACTACTTCGCCTTCCTTTTAAGAAGTCGCAGAAAAGTATGACCTAATTAATCGCCTCATTAATAACGAGCCAGGCATTCCATCGGATCAAAGTCTAACGGAGATTAGTCATAATATATTGTACTGTTCGTTTTCCGACGATGACCAATCGACTAAACCCAAAATAGTGGGCCTGCGTTCAGTAAAAAACTTTTTTTGTTTTTGGTGCTGATAACCATTAATCAATATACCAATCCGCTTCTATATATAAACAACTGTATTGTCGTCATGTCTTTTAATGAACGTTATCGCTATCGATAAAACCAGGCATCACACCTACATCACGATGTAGACTGCAAATGACAGACATTATTAATCTGGGTATTCGATCTTTGGTCCCAATACCTCAGATGAGGAAGATAGCAACAACATGAATACAAACGGTAGTTTTTTCTTATTAGCCAAGGCATTCTTGGTTTTATAGGATAGGAGACGTATTAGTTCATCGTTGCTTTAAATCGTTACCCGCACGATTATGGAAGAGACATCCTGATACCAGTGCCTAAGAGTATAAATATAGTCTTAGCTGCACTCTTCTTTCCTCTGCATCGATTGCAATAACGTTACAAACTGAAACCGTCAGTATTCGCTTCTTTTAAGAACCTACGTTTAATATTGTTTCTAATATTTTATGAACCACTGCTTGATATTGCTCTTTAATTGATCGGAGGCTTGAGGTACATGCCTAAGGTTTATCCTCCGCTTTATCAACTCAGATAAAGACGTAAAGTCGTAGAAAAATGTTTTTATAGGAATCAGATCTGTTGTTTTCGCCTTACATGTATAATTTCTTCCTCGTTTTTCATTGCTCAAGCTTTTTCTCATGTAAACAGTCACAGCCTTAATGTCTTCGTTCATCACTTCTATTGATTTATTTCACAGTCTACTTTCGGTGTTTTGTTTACTGCCTCTTTGTTTGCAGTATTTCTGATTTTTCGCATGAGGTTTCAAACTTAGCAAAAACGTGTTTCCAATCGACGGTAAAGACTTCATGTATGTATTCTGTAGTGTCTTGTATCTGCATGCTTCTCTGGCATCAATGACAGTACAGGTTTCAGCAGTTGTCAGTTGTAATCCAAGCAACTGTTTAATAAATCGACCGATTTATTTTTGACTATATGATAACTATTGAAGCATTCGTGCTCAGAAATATTTGTAATACTAAAGCTTTCTAAAAAATCGTTTAACCTTTTAGGTAGGATGGCATTAAACTCGGTTTTATTTCTTTTGCTTGTGTTCGTTTTCCATTGTAATGAGTCGACTGGAGAACACAAGTTTGGCGACCCTAACGAAGTACGAGACGAAAAGTACTGACGCTGCGACGAAGCGGCTTGATTTCATGACATAAATAGCGATGCATGCTTTATGTAGGCACATCCGATCGCATCTTGAGGGACAGATCGACACAGAGAAGGAGATGGACCCGGAGAAAATGCAGTTCCATTACTTCAAGATGTACGACACGAATAACGATAATGTATTGGACGGTGTCGAGCTGATCAAAGCGATGACTCATCTGGATAATCCAGGTAATGGCATTTTTCACGTAGCGAAAAATACCCTAACTCTGTAATGCTTCATCATTTCAGATCCGAACAATCCGAAAGCTGCGCCTCAGATAAATGATAACGAATTAGAGAAAGCGGTCGATTCGATACTTAAAGCCAACGATTTAGACGGTGACAACGCTATTAGCTATCCCGAATTTAGGACAGGTCAAGCGAATAGCCAGAACTGAGCATATCCGTTCCCTTATCGTTTTAATGTCCGTTTTTGTTGTGATGTACAAAAGTTTTTTTCTGCAAAGAAAGTCATACAATTTTTTTAACTCTGCAGTTTTGAAACAGTATCAAACTTGCAGTGCACTCTTCACGCTTAACGGCACGTGATCCACGTACCACTGATGGTTTTCGCCTGCACGTGTTGCAATAACAC